AAATAAAAAGAGAAATACTACCTTTCAGTTTTCAAATACTTTTTCAGGCATTAACAAATAATTGTGTAATTAGCTGAAAAGATGAAAAAGTGTCAACTATTTCTACACATTAATTATAAAACATATTGTATTAAGTAATAAATTTTATATATACAAGTCTCTAAACAGGTCTCAATATATTTATTTTGCATGTCTGAAGCACTTTATAAGGAGGCTGAAACACTACAAAGTGTTCTTGCAAGTTGGTAACATATAAAAATATTAATGAAATCAAAACATGGGTTTTCTGTTAATAATAGCTCTTCTGTATCAGCATTAAATGAGACACAAATTGGTGAGAATAAAAAAATACTGAAACACTATACGGGTAGAGTGAAGAAGCATTCATACATGACTAATGACTGATTACACAGATACAATGTTTGAGAATATGATTAATAGATCATAAATTTGATTCTCATACGGCTCTAGGAGGGTTTTGTGGCATCTACAGCCACACAGTGTGTGAGAAGATGTACTACCTGGTACTTAACACGCAATTAGAAAAATTAACCAAGGATATGTTAAGTGTCCTTCAGGAATTGAACTGGGGAGATAAATCCTGATACCAACGCAGCAGAATACATGAATCAAGGGAAAAAGGACACTAAGTGCTACAGTGATATGACATGAGTTGAATGCACTGTGTGTGTAGTGAAAGAAAAGAAAATTACAAAAGAATAGGCTCTCATGGGGGAGGCAACTCCACTCAAACATATATGTGCCTGAGAGCCAGGTGAATACAGAAAGAGAGATGAGGAGACCCAGTAACTTCCAGGAGAGAAGTGAACATCTAGGGAAGGGTACAGATTTATGTAACTAAAGAGTTGTTTAATAATGAAAAGAAAGCTATCAAATAAAAATATATATCACATTCATGTACCATCAGTGAAATTAAAAAAAAACATTTATTGCCACTTTGGTATCTCATTTCAAATCTTTTAAAATTTTTTTTTTAACATTTATTTTTGGGACAGAGAGAGACCAGAGCATGTGAACAGGAGGGCAGAGGGAGACACAGAATCGGAAACAGGCTCAGGCTCTGAGCCATCAGCCCAGAGCTGACACAGGGGGCTCAAACTCACGGACCACAGATCGTGACCTGGCCAAGTTGGACGCTCAACCCGACTATGCACCAAAGAGCATGCCCTCAAAATCTTTTAGAAAAGGAATAAAACACATCATTGCCAGCATTATTTTACAGCAGCAAGATGTGAAAGAACTAAGGCGTCGTGGAAAGGATAAAAAGATGTAATATATGTAAATAAAACAAATACTATAGCCATAAACAAGAATGAAACCTTGCCATTTGTTGCAACATAGAATGAACCTTGAGGGTATGCTAAATGAAATAGTCTGGGAAGACAAATACTGTATGGTCACTCACATGTAAAATCTAAAAAACAAGAAACAAAAACAAAATGAGAGCCTGGGTGGCATGTTGGATAGCGTCGACTTCAGCTAAGGTCACCATCTCACCATGGGTGTGAGTTCCAAGCCCCGATCAGGCTCTGGGCTGGTAGAGCCTGGAGCCTCTACTAAATGCTCCTTCTCTCTGCCCCTCCCCCTTCACATGCTCTGTCTCTCTCTGTCTCAAAATAAATAAGCGTTAAAAAATTTTTTTAAAAAAAATAAAAAAACAAAACAAAATAAAAACCTCACAGATACAGAGCAAACTAGAGGTTACTACTGGAAGGGGGTTTAGGGGTGGAGTGAAATGGATGAGACCCTACCCCCCCCCACCTGCCCCACCTGCCACCACCACCACCTTCCCCACCACCACCACACCACACACAACCTACCCCGACACGACTGCGTGATGGTGGTCGGATTGGTGAAACTGGTCGGTTGGTGATCGCGCTCGTATGTGGATCAGGTATTCCAGAGTTGTTGCCTGAGAGCTTGCATGATTGAAAGGCCTTGTAAATCGGATGTAGTAGGGCTTAACCACACCTACCCTGCCCTCTTAACCAGTGACGATATTTTAACTCCTTTGTTGGGCACTTTTTGTTGCCGTTTGGTTTAATGTATATTTGTATTCTTGGGTTCATATGTGCTTTTCAAAATCAAACTAGATTCTAATAAATGCAAATTAATGTCGGTTCTGTTAACATGTAGTTTAAAGATAGTTGGTTGTATGTGTCACGGGATGGGAAGATCGTTGTAGATCGTGTATCTGGTAAAGGAACTATCGGTTATATCAAAGAACTTCTTCAATTAAGAAAAAAAAATTTTTTATTGGGCTGGTCCCTCATTATATGAGCCCTTCTTCAATGCTTTGTGTTATGCATATAAAGCTATTTTCCGAGGGGGCACCTGGGTGGCTCAGTCAGTTATATGATCTCGCTCAGGTGTCTTTGGGTTAGGTGGGCTCAAGTCCCATGCTGGGCTGATGACAGCTCAGAGCCTGGAGCCACCTTTCAGATTCTGCACAATATTTGCTCTCTCTGCCCTCCCCTTGCTCCCACTTGGCTCTCTCAAAATAAAACCTTAAAAAAATTTAAACCTATTTGCCACAGTTAATTTTATCTGTCAGTTTGATTCCAATTTTTTAGCTAAAGAAACACTTGACTGTGTACATGTGACAAATCATTACTGATGTTACCAAAAAAAAAAAAAAAAAAAAAAAAAAAAATTAAATAGATACAAGTATACCAAGTGGGGAAAATTTTAATTTACAAAACAAAACAGCCAAGTTCTTGGGTTTAAGAAATATATTCATAACAAATACATTCTATTTTCTCAGTTAATTAAAATAAAACCACATAACTCTTACAGGGTCCATTCTCTCATTTCCAAAGTTATTATTTGTTCTTCTTTTACCTTTCTTTAATTTCAGTGCATTTAGGAAGACTAGAACCCCTAATACTTCTTTTCTTTACCATGCCAAATGGAAGGCCTAAGAACCTATCCAATACTTAAAAAAGCAGCTCAGAGAATACTGGTCAGCCTATCCCAATACCCATTTTTCTTCTTTACTCAAGGTTCTAATTTTGCTTTCCAACTTACAGTTAGCCCAACTAAACCTGTATTTCCCAGTCTCCAATACAGGTAAGAATAGATCGTCGCGACACAGTTCAGCCAGAGAACAGCCCAGAAATCGCTGGGCTGGGTTGCACGCAGGCAAAGAATCTGCTGATACCTGTGTCTTCTCACGTCTGCCTGCCCTGGGTACTGGTTTTTGCCACTAGAATCATCTTTATAAGATGTTCAACATGTAAAATTGAAATTATGTTTGTGAAAATCACGTTTTGATTTCTGGTGGTGTGTAGGTGTGAGTGGACAATTATTTGCTCACATCTCTATATTGTTTTCCTAGGAACACCAGGGCCTGGATACACCTCAAATACTTCTGGCCAAGCCCCTGCACACAGCCATCTCAGCCACCGTTCCCATTCAATGCCGTCATCCCAGTCCACATCAGCCAGCTTCCTGTCATGTAGCACCTAGTCTCATAATCATGATGCAAATGACCTAATATGTAGTAATTTTTTAAATGGAGAAAATTTCATTTAAAATATATCTATAGTTATAACATTTTCAATTACTGGATTGTAGATTTGCTCATACCAGATGAATGAAAACATTTGCTTCACTATTTGAATTGTTTACAAGGAAAACATGAATTATTCAGTAGAGATTAATATTAACAATAATTGAGTTTTTTAAGTTTTCATTTAGTCCAGTTAGTTAACATACAGTGTTATATTGAGTGCACATTATAGTGATTCAACAATTCCATACATCTCAGTGCTCATCATGACAGAAGTGCACTCCTTACGCCCCCTCACCTAAAAGCATCCCTCACCCCTTCCCTCTGGTAATCATCAGTTTGTT